TCCAAAATTCCTCGGTTTATACACGGTACTATACGGTACTTGTGCATAATGGATAAATGCAGACAGTATGTTTTGGCAGTGAGCTCAAACTGAATTTTGTTATTTTCTTGTTTCTTTTGTTATAGTCTTTAGTTTAAACCTTATGTTGGGCTTGTTCTTCTACATTACAGAAGTTATTTTTTGTTTCTCCCATATCCTTCAAGCATTTTACGACGTTCTGAACAATTCCTGCATCAACTCGACTTCATACTAAGCCTGATTTGATAATGTCTTTTAGGTTGACATGGATGGTGTATAGATCTTCACTGAAAACTTTGTACTGTAGCTATTTGGTTAATTCGTGCTATTTTGGCATTCTGGGCCGTCTCGAATCTTCTGGGACCCTCCTGAACCTTGGTCCTAGACACCTCTGGATAGCATCCACCATGTACACCATGTGCTGGATTGGATTTTGTCATATATATATATATATATATATATATATATATATATATATATGGTTGGCGGCATCTAGTTTTTAATATGCTTGTCACTGCAACCTCCAGATACCGGACGCCTGCGCCTACATAGGGACCATGGGTGGCTTGCGCTGCACCACCCATAGATCCATCCACACACCCTATATCCAGTGTAAACCCGAAGGAATAAGACCGGGAGGCATGTGGATGGGAGCCACGTAACATCAGCGGAGCCGGCCCACATTCCTTCAACAAGCGGAGCACAAGTATTCATGCCTAGTTGGGGAATCATACGTACCGGGTGTACACAAGGTGGTGTCTGGGCGGTGGCCCCTTTCCACACTGGATGCATGGGATCACTCTTCGAGCCTAGTACGGCCACGAGGACCGTGCACACTGTCCCCTCCAGCCACAACCAACTGTCTCCCGAAGCCAGTATAGGCGAGGTGGTGGGTAATAGACGAGTAGACACCTTGTCAACAGTCACATCAAACGCAGCCACACTGGGGATATAAATCAATAGCCAACACCTGAAATACAAGAATCTCAACACGCAGACACACGCACAGAGCAACTGCAACGACAATGAACAACGATATATTACAGGTAAAAAATCGATTGCTTTAAGGGTCCCATAGGATGCTTGAAGTGGAAGCAAACATAAGTGTAACTCGTCAGTTTAAACGTCTAGCGATTCAGAAGCCCTTTTTCATATAAACATTTAGAATGTGTATTGAATTGTTACTGTAGAATAATATAGGGAAGGTATGTTTCAAGAACAAAAGAAACAACAACGTTTACTCGTGCGCCGCTTTCTTGGACTGATGTAATTGATGAATGCAGTTGTAGTATATCTGAACGATATTCCACAGCAGCAGTGTGTACGTAGTAAAGCACAAAAGCTGAGAATGAGCACCGTTTGTTCACGTTGGGTTGACGTAGACATCACTGATTATCTAGCGTAATGTAAGCGGATAAGCGAATCATCCAGACCTCTTTTGAATACCGATAGCGTGGGGGAAGAAACAACGTATGTGGGAAGAGCGTTCCACTGCTGACACACACGAAGGGAAAAGAAATTTCGGCCGCATTCCAACCGGTTGTATTGTGTGGCCACCTTTGGCTGGTGTCCTCTGAGTGCGGTATTGCGATCCAGCTTTAGTAGGTGACGACAAGAATGGTTTGGATTTCTCAGGACCATATAAGTCATTATCAAATCACCACGCATGCGTCGATATTGTCCACTGTGAACCCCGAGGGTTTTCAGCCTGAATCGGTAAGGGAGATGAAACAGGCTCTTTACGTTCTTGGTCGCCCTTCGTTGTGGCAGTTCAAGAGCGGTAAGGTCTTGCTTTTGCCATGGCTACTAGGCGTGGATGGCGTACTCAGAATAAGGCCGAATGTAGGCGTTGAGCATCTGAGAAAAGATGGAAGGATCAAAACGCTCTAATGCCCTCTGCAAAAAGCCAAGGTGTTGGTTAGCTTTTTTGAATGCTTTCTCGGCCTGACGGGAACATTCCAGATCTTCCAGCACTATCACATCTTGATGGCATTCCGTTGAAGTGCGCTGCAATATTTGATCCCTCAGTCTTTATTCGCAAGTAGATTTATGGCGTATGCTCAACACTTTGCACTTCGTAGCGTTGAATTGAAACAGGTTCTGAATCGACCATTCGTAGACCCTGTTAAGATCATCCTGAAGTGCTGCATTGTCGTTGATTGTTCTAATGGCTCGCCATATCTTGAGATCATCAGCAAAGAGTAAGAAGTTGGAGGTGCTTGCTTTCGCGAGGTCGTTTATGTAAATCACGAATAGTCGTGGGCCAAGTATTGAGCCCTGGGGCACTCCGCACTTAACCTCGATTGGGTCGGAGATGGCGCCGCGAACTCTTACCTTCAAATGTCGTTGAAGCAAGAAGTTACCTATCCAACCGAGCATGGGGTCACCAATTCCACCACACTGCAGCTTGTGAAGGAGGATACGGTGGTTCAGACGGTCAAAGACCAGATATACTGCATCAACACCTACGCCGCTGTCGAAGGTCTTCGTCCAACTGGATCTAGCAAGTAGCAAGTTTAAAGTGCAAGATCGGTTCTTGCGAAATCCGTGTTGTTCTTGTGCTATGATATTGCGTCCTTCTAAGTAGTTCATAAGCACTTCGGCAACAGTTGCTTTCATGATTTTGGAGAGCACCGGAAGTAGTGTCATCGGGCGATGGTTGGCCGGATCTGTACGATTTCCCCCTTATGGATGGGAGTGGCCATGCCCTGCTTCCACATTGTTGGCACCCGCATCTCATCGAGGCATCGTTGGAAAAACTTGCAGAGTGGGCCCGCCAGGTTAACTGCAGCCAATTTCAACGCCTTTAGACGCATATTATCAACGCCGGGTAAGGTATGTACGCGCAGAGCAATTAGCCTTTTCATAACATCACAGTCGTAAAATTGATGTGGCTAAGTCCTGGTGATGATACAACGTTTGGGAACAGTGTATGCGGTGATGTCTTTCTCTGGAAGTTCGGGACGAATTGTTGACATTGGGCGTTGGCCGTCTCGGTTACGGTTTGTGCAAGTCCACATAACGTGTGTAGGGCAGGAATTCCTCGCTGCACTTTGCGGAGCTTATTAACGTGTTTGTAGAGGAACCTGGGGTTTGAAAGGAATTTCTCAGCTAGACTCTGTTGGTGCTGTATTTTATTTTCGCGTACCAGGTTTACGCACTGATTCCTTTGGATAGTGTATGCTTCCCATGTTTCGGCACTCGGTGACACCTTGTATCTTCGTCAGAGTACATTCCTCGTGACGATACACTTGCGTGTCCTGCTGCGTATGAATGATTTTACTGTCTTTGCTCGCGAACGCCTTTTCCTAGAAGCACTAGTTACTAACATGTTGAATTGGTGAGCAAAATCAGACCAGGCGACATCGGGGGATCCTTCTGCTAGAAATGCCCACTTTGTAGCATTTATAAGTTTGATTAAAGGGCCGTAATGAGCTGACACTCCTCGGTGTTTTCTGAGGAATACTCTGCATAACAGATGTAATTGAACATGAGCGTTGCATTGTTCGCTACGGCCTAAAGGACTCTCTATCGATACCGTTTCGATCATAAGCTCTTCATTGGCGGCACACGTGCCACATCAACGACATCATTGACCTGGGTTATTAAATGGAACCGGAAGCGCCGCGCTGATGATGAGTACACCTTTAGCATACTCGTCTTCTCTTACTTGTTGGCCCAGCGTGGCGACGCTCGTGGTTTACCTAACCCGCTTTGCTGAGGCACCCGCGACCGCATGTGCTACAGCGCAATGCGCTGGACGTCCATGTTCTGCACAGCATCGACGACAGTCGCTTTCTCAACCGGACTTTCTTTTCCGCATGCAGCAGCGATTTCTTTTCCATCTGCGCAACCGCCTTCTTGCAATGCTGTCACCATGAGCGCCGATCCATTGCCATAGACTCCCAACACCTGAACTCAACATTAGAACGGGATAAACGCACCTTGATCATATCCTGGCAACGTAACTTCGATTTTCCAACGTGCCGTTTCCCTGCGCGCAGTTGGTATAAAGCAGCTGTCTCGGAATCCGACTTGTTGCCATCCGGTGAATATGCCCGATCCACCTCAGGTGCCTCAGCAAAATTATGCAGTCCACTGCATACATGCCACTGCGTCGGAACACCTCCGTGTCTGCAACTCGGTCTTTCCAGCCGGTGCGCATAATACGGCGCAGACACTGTCAATGGAAGCGCTCCAGATAACGGACCTCCTTTCGATAAAGCGTCCAGATTTTACTGCCGTATAGAAAAACGGACAGCTCCATTGACGGATAAAAACTCCATTCTCTAAGCCTCCTTTGCACAAGCCTTGTAGGGGTCGGGCTGTGCACACACAAAATTGGGACTGCATCAATGTGATGGATAAAGGCCACGCATCGCCCAACAAGTTTCAGCATAGTTCGACAGGTGACTCTTCAGGCGAGATTTCCGACGAAGGGGACTCATGGTGGGCAATTTATATATATATATATATATATATATATATATATATATATATTCAATGGAAGTACGTCAGCAACAGTTCTAGGCTGACTGGTCGCTCACTGTCAGTGGCTCTAGGACCTGAACATCATTCACAAGGTATTCACAGGCACAACGGAGCTGGATGCGGGTCAACTGGCATATGTACTGTGCCGCCCTAGCCTCATAAATCATATTGGCAAACTGCCTCCACTTCACATTGTGTGTATTTTTCTCCAATTTGCCTTTTTCTCTCGTTCGTCCATGGGCGGCTTTTACCTGGGAATCTCGCGGAAAGCCAACACTTAATTGCTTGTTTCATTTGCTTTCCAGCCATATTCTCACTACCCATCCGTGCTCGGGTTAACTATGGCGTTTTTTATGCAGTTTTTGGTCGTACACACGTTAACATTCTATTTTTGCACTTTAAACGCATGTATCTGCATTCATACTAAATGTTCTGTTTTCCTTGTGTGCACTGATCCCATATGACCGTTATTCCCTTGCTCGATACATCAGGTGTCCTCTACCCAAGCTGAATTGCCCTCGGAGCTTAGCCCGTTTTCGAGCAAGCATCACGTCTTCAGCCATTCCACCCATTCCAGTCCGACATCTACGACCGTGCCCACTAGCGATATGTAACTGGCGTTCACCTCCCGAATACCTGATGTTCCACCTTCCATTCTGCGCACACTTTTTTGTCCTGTTGTTGAATTTGGCATCGCATCGCTCCACCTTATCGGTTTTATCCATTCACTCTTTCTCGCGTGATGCATGCAAGGCCGCAGTGTTAATAAATGGGTTTTTGAGTAGTGCACTCGTTTGTGCGTTCTCTTGTCTCAAAAGGGTTCGCGTCACCTTTTTCCGTCCAAGGCGCCACTTTCTTATTACTGTAGATTCCTTGTAGTGTGATCCCATCTGCACCGCGAGTCGCTTCATTTTTGGTTCGTGCTAAACTAAGCTGAGTAGATGGGTTGGTGCTTGTGGATCACAACCGGTGATTAATCGCGGTTGCATTGTTACTCTCATGCCTCCTCTATCACATTTAAACCCATGGTGGTCGTGTCTAGCATCTCCTGAACTATTCCTATTTCAGCTGTCAACTTTTGAGGTTGTACACACTCGCCCATCAACTCCTCCGACAAAGCCATATTTACTCTGCTCGGTCAGTTTGGTACGTAGAAACCCCACAGTCTTTCTTTGATGCTGTGGGATCATGCGTATTGTTCACTCATCTGTACTAAATCCTGCAGCATGCTCTGCTTCTAGTCAGTGAATTATTTGTATACTAAGGTTCACAAATCCATCATATGATGGACATTAATTGGTACAGGTGAACCAGCACCACTTTAGCTAAATTGATCACCTCGCAAATGAGTTGGCTGATGCATAATGGCTGCCTTCCAATGAAAGATGATATGGGATGTTGAGGTTTATTCGCATGGCTACCGGTCTGTGTGTATCGAGATCCTTTTTGACTTGGCCAAAGAAACTGCTCAAATGACTCGGTCCTACTAATGCGTTTCAGCTAACGGGTTGGTTCCACAAAGTAGACCTCATCCAAACGGACGAGTCTGTGTCAATGTATAGTCTAAAAACCCACATTGCATCATCAAAAGCAAAACAACCTACCCGAACTGTCGTTATTTCGAATCGTTTTGAGTCTGTACTTTGCATTGCCGCATAAAATAGAGTAGTCTACTCTGATGAGACAGGTAAAGATAAAGAGGCGTCAGCAGTACGCCGGCACACCGTTCGTACGCTTCGATACCACCTGACCACTACTGGTCGCGCTTGGATCTGCTATACCGCGAGGTTGTCCACACCTACATGGATTCGAATCGGTGACCTTTGGATTTTCAGGCAGACGCCTTGTCCCTTCTGACAGCAACCGAATAAAAGAGAGTTCCGCTAGACCTATTGCTATTTTCTTCATGACATCCCGATTAGCTGTGTCTCCTGCGATTGGCCTGGTCGAATAGATTGTCCGCTAGTCACTCTGATAATAAAGGCGAGGCTTTCTGTACCAGTTTACTAACTGCATAAAACATTGCGAATACATGGCACTTATTGCGTTGTTCTTAAAATTTCGCTGACTTTGAATGCTGGTTGTTGCACTTACTACTTTGATTATTGGGGATACTGAAAAGCTCGCCAGATTTCGATTAACAAAATTGCAATGGCCAATTAATTAAGAAATGTTTTCCTAACACCTTCCTATTTGAAGTCCAATTGTGTACCATCCTACCTAGGCCGACAATCAGCCGAGATAAGCGAATTAGTGGGCTCATCTTTAGACATGACTTTTATGAGTTGTATGGGGTGTAGTTTTACTAAGCTTCGTCGTAGCTTAACTCAGTCACCACACATCCATGAAAATGCTTTCCTTGGTGTGTGTTGGCTATCTGGCCAAGCAACTGTCTATACAGTAGATATACAGCCATCTGGGTGAGTCTTCTCAGATTACTTTTGTGCTGGTCGCTTAGAACTTAACCAAGAATATTTCATGGTGGAGATTCGTTCTATCCCTTGTGTTTACTGATGTACATTTTCGTTGTTATTGATTCGTCGAACCAACTTCTCATAACAAACATGTACTTAGTCCATATATCCATGTAGTTTTGTCGCTCTCACAGTCTTTTACCAGTACTTGCCCCCCGTCGAACTGCAGCGGTAATGCGGGATATCTCCGATTGTACTTAAGTTCTATGTTATGATTTCTTCCTGAACTATGCTTTTCGGATGGTCTTATGAGGTCAAGTGTTGTTCGAGCCTTTCACTAAGAGCAATTCTGTCAACTACTTTTCGCCCAGCGTATGGGGTTTGAGATTTTTTTCTTCGCATTAATAATAAAGTTTCAAACACACTTCGAGACGCTCTGTTTTTAGCAGGTTCTTGTTGCTGCGCCACACAGTATTTTTCGTAGTATCATATCCGTAATTTTCTGAACGATAGCTAGTGTTACTTTGGCACCAAACGGTGGGCGCGTATATTGCAACAACTCACAATGGTTGTTTATGGTTACCATCTCTCGAGACTTCTGGAAATGTGTTCATAAAAGCCATCTGTGAAGGCTATGTAGTATTGGTCTACCACCGCATCTAATTCAGTAGATTAATCTTCACAGTGGTGGATCTCGCTATTTGGCGTCTTATGAGCAACTATTGCGGCTGCTCAAGAGTCGTGGTTGTTTGTCTTGATAACTCCTATTGCCTTTCACTTGCTTAGTGAGCGATGAACACGGTGGCATATGAAACTGGTCTCTTCAGCTCGAACAATTGACAGGGTTAGGACATCTTTTATTTTCGGAGGCAGTTCCAGTCCTTGGACTCTTTTATGTCTTTTCTGTACTCGTCGCAACTGGCTTACACGCAGAGCTTACGCGTATATCAAACCAGCTTCAGATTTTCAATCCATTCGCGACTACGCACGTTCAGGTCTTCGGAAACCACACTCTTCTGCACTCGGATGTGATGGACGCATTGGTGAATGAGTCTCTCTCAATATTGTTGTACAGTCTCATTCTTGTCTCAACATCTTCGGACGCCTATAGACCATAAACAAAACCCAACGCATTAGACTGGTCGCCCGTCATCTCATTCATCTTGAAATACCCAAATTGTCAATTAACGTTAGTCGCATAAGTAACCAAAACATAGGAAGTACGCAAATCTCATAGGGCTTTATGTGGCGGTTTAACTATATCTACTGACTAAATAGTCGTTTGCTAGCGCTACAACTCGATAGAAAGTGAAGTCTTTGCGGCATTTTTGTAAAATAGCATTAAGAAATATCGTGCTCCTTGCTTCTGGGTGTTAAGATGTGCCTACCGCATGCGATTCCGGTTATTATGCTCAGGTTCTTCGCAAAGCTCCCAATCCAACTGGGAAGTCAGCAGCTAGAGAGCTTGATTAAAGTATGCCTGTTCACCAGTACAGCTGTCAAAACACACTCTATTCAGTTCGAATTATCATATTTTTTCAGTCCAGAAGAGAGTCGTGGTTAACTCAGTTCAGTCGAACAACTATGATCCGGGCACTGAAGTTCGGTGGACCCAGTTACCACGACTCACATCGCTAGTATAACAGACAAAACGTCACGGGAATGAGTATGAATGCGAAGAGAAGGTCAAGAAACTGGCACTAAGAAGGAAGTGCGTCGAACTAATCGGGATGGAACGAGAAGTAATAACTAGATGCAAAAATATCGGATACAGGAACGCCGCTTACTGTACCTTGTCTGATAGGGTCTTCAACCGTTGGTGTGGACCATCCTTAGGCGTCCATCCACGAAGAGTGCATATACCAGCCTTAGTTTGTCAATTTTTTCATATTTCTATGTCATGTCATGGACTGGTTACCTCGCGCTTTCCGCCAACTTGGTGTTGCGACGGCGTATAAGGCAGGCCGAGGAAGCCAGACGTACGAAGGACATGGCTTAGCCAACGTAAGCAGTTGAGATACAACATACACTTGAGTGAAGCACCAGAAGGCTTCTTGTCAAAAACCAACTGGCGGACCTCACCATTGCTCACCTACTGTTCACACCAGGCGACCAGGTACTAGAAACTTTGGGAACCACGAACAAATCGTTGTCGCGACCGATAGAAGTATGCCTAACCCCACCGTCCACATCCTCTTATCCAATCTACTGACCGATGCGACATCGGTAACGCTGACTCTTCCGATTGACCAAAGAAATCCGAAGCGCTATAAAGACCGATCCACCTATGCAACCGTTGCTGCTCGATAGAATCAAAGTGCGACCTCAGTAGCCTCACCCAGTACGGCCGCGAAACGGGTCAAGGACCAGTTGCAACCTGCAGTGAGGTCACTAAATCGCTCGATAAATGTGCTTTTCACATCACTGAAGACCAACCGGAACGACGTGGCCTTAACCCGTATATGCGCCAACGTTCCTGACTCTAAAGCAAACTTCGTAAGGGGTGAACAGTTGGATGATTTAAAGCAGTGGATTTTCCTTGTGATAGAATCAAAATTAAACCCACATCGACTAATATAATGCGCATCCCTAGACATACAACTTCGATTCATTACGGGGAGTCCCGGCTAGTGCAAGCAACATAGGGATCCACAGGTGATATCGAAATGATGCTTTTGTCGACATACCGCCTGCGGATTAAAAACACTAGAATACGCATATTTCCGGATGTTCCATGGAGCGAACGCCAGCGGGACAAAAATAATTCAAACGATCACCACACGGAGAGTAACAAATAATTATTTTCGTTCATGGCATGCCCGAGCTTCTGACAACCAGCAACAAAGAAGCCCACACTCATGACCTGGAAGAATGGCGTTACATCCGCGAAGCTCTCTGTGCGGGCGACGTCATACTTCAGTCGATTACACGGTTACCCTTCTCGCCAAGCTACAGAAGAAGTGGCCCTAGGACATTGAAACTAACGATGCAGTCACAACAGATTGCTCGTGAACTTACTCCGTAGCTGATAGTTACTACGCAACCCACTTCCTTCGGAACTACGACTGAAGACAACAGTTAGTGAACCGCAACCAATTGCTCTTCTCGCTGAAACGATACCACCCGCAACTCAACCTAACCACAACAGCGATTCAGAAAGCTGTGCGCTAAGACCAGTAGCTATCGGGAAGGCTACCGAT